ATCCCTAGCATAAACATGTGTATGGTCGTTTTGAGGGGGGAGGGAGGGGGTCTGGGGACCACCGTGACTAGCGACCAGCCTGGTACTACAGACCTCCGTGGCTAGCGACCAGCCTGGTACTACAGACCACCGTGACTAGCGACCAGCCTGGTACTACAGACCACCGTGGCTAGCGACCAGCCTGGTACTACAGACCACCGTGACTAGCGACCAGCCTGGTACTACAGACCACCGTGACTAGCGACCAGCCTGGTACTAAAGACCACCGTGACTAGCGACCAGCCTGGTACTACAGACCACCGTGACTAGCGACCAGCCTGGTACTACAGACCACCGTGACTAGCGACCAGCCTGGTACTACAGACCACCGTGACTAGCGACCAGCCTGGTACTACAGACCACCGTGACTAGCGACCAGCCTGGTACTACAGACCACCATGACTAGCGACCAGCCTGGTACTACAGACCACCGTGACTAGCGACCAGCCTGGTACTACAGACCACCGTGACTAGCGACCAGCCTGGTACTACAGACCACCGTGACTAGCGACCAGCCTGGTACTACAGACCACCGTGACTAGCGACCAGCCTGGTACTACAGACCACCGTGACTAGCGACCAGCCTGGTACTACAGACCACCGTGACTAGCGACCAGCCTGGTACTACAGACCACCGTGACTAGCGACCAGCCTGGTACTACAGACCACCGTGACTAGCGACCAGCCTGGTACTACAGACCACCGTGACTAGCGACCAGCCTGGTACTACAGACCACCGTGGCTAGCGACCAGCCTGGTACTACAGACCACTGTGACTAGCGACCAGCCTGGTACTACAGACCACCGTGACTAGCGACCAGCCTGGTACTACAGACCACCGTGACTAGCGACCAGCCTGGTACTACAGACCACCGTGACTAGCGACCAGCCTGGTACTACAGACCACCGTGACTAGCGACCAGCCTGGTACTGCTGGCCACTTCGCCAGGCACGGATGGTCTCATATTCATATTATGGTTGTGCGGTGCAAACTTCTAACTAAGGCGGCACAACAGTTCATTTGTATTTGCTTTTGTATGCGTTCTACAGGTCACCGTCTGCAAAGGAACGATCTTGAAATGGATGAGCTCTTGGGAAGCGGTCACCACATGCGCACACAGACCATGCCACTCGCCAGTGCCCTAGTGGAAATGCGACGGCGGCTAGAGTTCGAAAGTTGCATAGAAGATCAGGCAATGTGCATCTACATCAGCCACGATAGGCAGTCCGATGCGCCGGTCATACGCCTAGCCAGCCACATGACAAGTGTGTCTGGCTGCCAGGTATCAGTCGATGTACTCCAGTTGGAGGAGATCAGAAATGCCCAGCTGCATGCACACCCAACCGACTGGCTGGAGAAGACGCTCTTCTGCAACCAGGACGTAAACGATCCAAGCAGAATGGAGGACTGTGAATGCCACAATGGAATCGGAGCGTGTCACCACTTGCCAAACTCCATCCTCTTCTTCTGCACACCGGCTATGAAGGAGTACTTTGACGTGCACGAGTCACAGCACCAGCATTTAGAAGTTGTTGACGGCGATGCTGGCATTCCAGGCCAGCATGGCTATCGCATGTTCCTGGATATGGAGATGAACATAGCGTCCCAAAACATGTCCAATGTCATCGCTGTTGTACCAGCAGGCCGTGATGGTTGCGCAGACTTGTCATGTCTGCCAGATTCCCTTCAATGTGCACTGGTGGCTGTTCATAATGACCAAGTCGATGAGATGGCGGATGATTTATTGGCAGCAGATCATGGACCGGTGGCTAGGGAGGAGCAAGCAGAGGGAGAGAATGAACAACCTAATGAGGAATTGGACCGGCGTGATGAGGAATTGGACCGGCGTGATGAGGATTTGGACCGGCCAAATGAGGGGTCGGACCAGGGATCACCTGAATGTGAAGTGGCCGCCTGCTAGTCTATAATTATTATGTCTAAATCGGTCACTATCCAATGGCAATGGTTGAGTGCCAGCAAGAAAGCATCAACACCGCAGGTCATGTGCTTGGTAAACTTCTGCATGCTGTATCACATGCGTGCACACACACACACACACACACACACACACGCACACACACACATACATACGTGCGCACGCACGCATGTGCACACACATACACACACCACACACACACACACGCACACACACGCACACACACACACACACACACCAATAGCTGACTGGGTTTTCCTCACTTGAGCAGAGTATTTGAAACTTTACTTGACGAGTCCTGTACTGACATAACTCAACTCCTCCAGAGCACATCCTTACCTATGTTCAGTGTTCAGTATTATTTTGGAATCCGACCATGGCCTATTAGACCTTCCACCGCCATTCTACTCTGTTACAACTCCAGTATTTCGTACCATATTTTTTAAAGCTTTTCTCCATCATCACAGTCATGATTTGCGAATCAATCACTGTACATTTTGTTCACCAGCCTATCTTGAGCTCGACGGTACCGGTGGCTGCGTCACAGTTTTGTTGGCAACCTGGTCGGTTGCGTTATATGGGCCAATGTCCAATGAGCATCTTGGACATACAGTGCTGACAACTGAAATCCGACCCCCTGGGCGGTGCGCTCACAATCATGATCGCAGAGTCCCAACACGGGCCGGGATGGTAAAACTACGAAACAGAGGCCGCTAGAATGTGAACCCACCGCGCAGGGGGTCGGATTTCAGTTGCCAGCACTTGTACTTGCAAGCACTGTCCTGACAACGGCAGGAACTTCCCGTGTGCACCATCAAAGCCCTCTAGAAACATCGCTCTAAATAAATATAACTGTACGGATAATTTATAAGAAAGAAAAAGGACCAAGGAACTACAGTGCTGGCAGCTGAAATCCGACACCCTGAGCGGTGCGCTCACATCGAAAAGAATGTGAACCCACCGCTCAGGGGGTCGGATTTCAGTTGCCAGCACTGTACATGTTACGCTATTGACCATAAGTTGCATAACACCACCAGTTACTAAAAATAATCCATCCGAGTCCATTCCTGTACGGATAATAATTTTCTTTGCCTTGTCTGACGTAAATATCGTCAAACAGTAACTGGTTGGTGAAGTAGTATATTCCACTAAATGTTCGGGCCTGGCAGGGTGAAAATTACCCGGCCTCAGTGAAATACATCATGCCAAAACTATTGAACACTGAGCTGTGTAGTCAAACACGGCACTGCATTTTTCATGGCGGCATATGTTGCTGGCCAGAACTATACTATCCAAACCAGGGAGTCGTCAAAAAAATAGTCGTATTAGACGACTCCCTGATCCAAACCATGCGCTCAACTAATACTTACGAAAGTCCATTAGATTCCCGAATAATTATGTGCGAGAAGTGGTGGCGGGGCGCCGGGGTCACTTTCCCCGAGCCGAGGGGAGATCACTTTGCACGAGGGTAGATTACTATACTGTGGCGCTAGAAACCAGGGCCCGGGAGTCGTGAAAACCTTCCAAACCCTAGCAGTAGCCCCCTTGTACGCACAGACTGAGAGCTTCCAACCTTTTAAAAGGTGCGGCCATCTTTGATTTTAGAGCCCGATTTCTTGATGTCAATTGTCAGTCAGTTAGTACCACCTAGTAGTAGTACCTGTACTATCGCACTGAAGTGAAGGTGAAAGTGAAGGTGAAAGTGAAGGTTGCCTGGAAACTTTTAAAACTGCACCATATGCATAGTGTCATCGCCACTGCGCAAGGCTTTTCCTAGTCGCAATATCCAGGCCAGGGTGAAATGAGGCAACGAACTGTAGACATGGGCCCATGGCCTCCCCATTGGGCCCATTCGTGCAGCTATCACGAATCCGGCCTGATCAGATGGCTTCTGCCCTTCTCCAGTAGTTATAGCCGGATATGTCCTTTCAGTTCACACTCAACAGAGGTGAAAGGCCGTGTTACTTACTTAGAAGTTTCACTCCGATTTCAGCGATCATCAGAGAGCAGCATTCACTATCGAATCCTCTACGAGCAGGCCTAGATTAGAATGCTAGATATTTGATGCTAGTGGGGAAGTAAGTAATTTTTTATTACCGGTAGTTAGTGCATTATGATTGTGTGAAGTGAAGAGCTCCTTTCAGTTCACTCATCATCGAGTCATGCCCAGACACGACTTTCATCTATACAGTCTAGTACTTAGTAGTACAGTTGAACATCGATTATCCGACCACCTCTGGGCAGACAACTGTCAGGCGGTGTTCAGATAAGGCAAATGTTCCGGATAAGAAAACACACTGTAAATACATGTACATGTACATGTACATTGTAAATAGAATAGAGTGCTACTTTTCAAAATTTTCGTATTTTTTGAATGGCTCACTACATGCACAGTGCGTACTCTACGGCACGTGCGCCCAAAAAAACTGTTACGGATAATCGAATGGTCGGATAGTCGATGTGCGGATAATCGATGTTCAACTGTATTAGACATGGTTAGCATTTCCGACGGCTCATTGGCATAGTCTACCCAGCCAGGATGTCAAATACTGAGCTGTATGAGAGGTGCAACACGGAACCACTATCTGACATCGTGGACAGGAGAAGATGGCAGCTAACCGGCCATATTCTCCGTATGGACAGGGATGCGCCGCCATGGATCGCGCTGACGGGCTATTTTGCGGGAGATGCCAAGGCTGGGCGTGGACGTCCAAGGACATCCATTGCGACGCGCATCACAAGCGACTTACAGAGGAGGAACATCGACTTGAAGCGCAGCAGTCAGCTGGGGAATGTGAGGGCCATCGCTCTGGACAAGCTTACATGGAGAAATCTGGCCGACAATCCATGATCTGGCGTCACAGGTCATCAGTGCGCCGTGTTAATAATTACCTTGATAATGGAATTTGATCATAGGAGATAGGACAGAAGCGGAACGTATAATTATACCCACATAATTATATTATTACGCGTGCTGTGGTATTATTATTATTATTATTATTATTATTATTAGCATTTTACCGTTCGCGCTATTTCGACGGTCGGCGTGTAGAGGGCGAGTCTACTGTTTTTGATGTGTTTTCGAGACACGTTTAGCAGTTCGGCTTCTGAGTCCTGACTCCTGACGCAACGATAGACGTGTGAGGTAACCCTAGTTGGAATCTTACCGTTTCGTTCTCCCGCTAAAAAGAGCTTTCTATCGTCGAAACGGTACCAAACCGACGGTATTTTGGGTTTGGGGTACGAGTACCGTTGGATATATCGGGCGCGTCGAAGAACGGATGCTAACCATGTACTTAGTAGTTATGGTTAGCATTTTACCGTTCACGCTATTTCGGCGGTCGGCCTGCACCGTTTTTTGTGTGTGTAGACATGGCATTTTACAGTTCACGCGCTAGATCCAACGGTACTCGTACTGGTACTGGTACGAGGGAAATGGTGAATGCGTCAACTGAGTACTGTCACATGATCATGTATTATAAATTTGTAGATCTGACAGCTGCTACGGGTTGCCGGAGCTGAGGTGTTACGCGGATGTCATCTCTGACCCAGAGCGACCTCCTTCCCTGCAAATCCCCCAAGGCCCCCGACAGCTCACCAGTTTCGCAAATTTCACCCCTGTCACTACCACTGAAGTCTGCAAGCTCCTCAAGAAGATCTCCCCTTTCAAATCCACCGGATCCGACGAACTCCCACCCCTTCCTCTGAAGATCTGTGCAGAAGAACTAGCCGGTCCCCTCTGTCTCATTTTCAACGAATCACTCTCCCTCGGTTCCTTTCCAGACATATATAAAGTAGCGTCTGTATTCCCCCTCTTCAAGAAAGGCAATCCAGAATGTCCCTCTAACTATCGCCCCATATCTCTACTCCCCATCGTATCCAAGCTTCTAGAAAAGATCGTCCTTCATCAACTGCAGCGCTATATCAACACCCACCCAGAGCTCAACATTCTTCCTCCCCAACAGTTCGCCTACCGCTCTGATCATTCCACAGAGGATGCACTTTCACTGGCTATATCAAAGTGGCAACAACGCTTGGATGACGGTCAGAACACCGGAGTGTTATTCTTGGACATGAGCAAGGCGTTCGACCGGGTCAAGCACCAGCCACTCATCAACGAGCTCTACTCCTGCGGTATTTGTGGCACAGCACTGTCTTGGTTCGCCTCCTATCTAAGCGCTCGTCGACAGACAGTGACGAACCCCTCCACAAAAACATCCGGCGACTCCGTGACCTGTAGTCGAGGGGTACCTCAAGGCTCTGTCCTGGGCCCCGTTCTTTTCACAATCTACACAAGACACGTAACAGACGTCACACCAACTCACACATCTAACATACTCTACGCCGACGATATAGGACTCTACACATCGAGCAGCTGCATCAACACGATACAGGACCGACTATCAGAGAGCTTCGATGCGGTTAAATCACACCTCACGGAACTGGGCCTCCTACTGAACCCCGACAAAACTCAACTATTAATCGTCCGCCGGAAGACAACCCCATTTCCACCTACCTTCACTGTCATCTGTGGTAACTTCCCAGTATCCCCTTCCCAGTGTGTCCGTTACCTTGGAGTGCTAGTCGACCAGCACCTTGCCTTCAAGGAGCAGGTCGGGAAAGTTGTTGCTGACGTCAACCGTAAGCTGGCCGCATTCCGCAGAATACGACATCACATCACCACCCAGGCACAACGTTCCTTTTACCTAAGCATTATCCAATCCACCATGGAGTACGCCAGCAACTGCTACGTTCACACGATATCAGCAACCCTATACAACACACTCATTCGATGCTTCAAACGTAGCCTCAGGATAACATTTGGCTACCCACCATGCCACCCAACCGCCACCATTTGTCAACGCCACAAAATTATTCCTGTCGCCATCCGTTATAACCTAAAGATATTTTGCCTTGTCTATAAATGTGTGCATGGCCGCCGCAGCCCTCTACTTGCCGAGCTTTTTGTACTTAGATCAAATAGCAACCATACCAATGCCTTGACCAGGGGACAGTCCGCCCTGGCTTTAGCCCTGCCTAATGCTTCGTCACGGTACGGTTTCTATGCTTTGCCTTACCTGGCTGCTGACAGGTGGAATTCGCTTCCAGCAGCATGCCGCCAGGCAGCCTCCTTTGCAATGTTCAACAGTACTCTTCGCAGCCTGTTTTGCAACACATAATGGCACAGTATGCAGCCACCGTTTTCTTTTTTCTTTACTCTATTTCACGCACTTACGGCTTTCTTCATACAGCTCTATTTCACGCACCTACCTAGGGTACCCTGTAAAAAGACTCACAGTCTGTGGGGATTGCCCTAGTAAAATAATAAATACTACTACTACTACTACTACTACTACTATGTCATGGTAAAGCCTTCCGACTTCGCACTTCGCAGCCCTTGGTTTGCGAGGCTGCGAGCGGCCGGAGGCAACCTGGCAGAAGGAGAAGGGTAGATCTACCTTGAGTGTGACCTGACCGTCATGTATGGGTCATTACTCAACCTGTAAGTTACACGATGAACACA